AATTACAAGTGTAATATCAGATTCGGAATATGAATCTGAACCAGAATTCCTGAGAGAAAATTCACAGAGAAATAAATTCTTGGAGAGTTATTAATATTTACCAAGTTAACGTACTATGTATTTTAGTCATTTTATAACAATAGAGAAAAAAATGAATAAAACACTTATAAAAACATTTTTGAAACATAATACAGAATAAGAAGTAAAGATACAAATATTTGTCTTTGGAGTATGTACATTGTAGTATGTACATTGTAGTATGAATTTTATGTATCAAATTAATAACACATTTGCAGGACCTATGTATTTGATTTTTTTTTTACAACAAATTGTCCAGAGTTTTGTTTCTATCCTGGTGTCTTCTTACATAAGGCTTTCTGCATAAAAAATGGAAAAATAATTTAATGATTTGAAAAAAAACTTGGTATGCTACATCCATATTACAATTACATGTACATATAATTATGTCTATTGGTGTAGTGCTTTACAATATATTATTGATAATCACATAAGTCATAATTTAGAAAATTACTGCATCAAATTATAATAATACTGCATAATTATACCTGATCTTCAACCATACTTACAGGAATGATAAATATTGATACTATTTACTTTCATGGTAGTAGATAAGCTAGAAATAAATATATATATATATATTATAAATCAGAAAAATGATCCTTACGGACGAAGAAATATCATAAAACGAAAAATTCTTTACAACGAGTCTTTAGTACTTTCATCTCTTCTAGGAGATTCTTCAGACTCTCAAGAATTCTTGAGTCTGAAGAATCTCCTAGAAGAGATGAAAGTACTAAAGACTCGTTGTTAAGAAATTTTTTTTTATAATATATATATATATATATACATGTAGAATACAGTCTTATTAAAATAAGACAATGTGACTTTTAAAAACAGTCTATTTAACAATCCATATTGAAAAATATGACATGTATAATATGTTTTGCTAAATCTATGAGGAAGTAAGTTAGCTCACCAGTGTCCCATTACATTTTTCGACGAGAGATTCCCTAAATAAACATTTGATACTCTGTACACAATACACTACAAATACAATAAGAAATAAAGTGATTTGTTTACTAATTTTAAAATCTTTTAATGAAATTGGTCCCTTTGATGTTTTAAGTTGAAATGCAACCTGGTAAGATATATTCTTAACAAAATTCCACCCCTAACACAGAGATTACATGGAAAAGAGTATAATGCACTGAAAACTGAATAAATCTAAAACACATGAAAAAAAAAATGAAGAAAAATTACCTGTAATGTATTTCCTACCACTGTTTTTCCTCAATCTTGAAAGCTGTCCATGGCTCTTATTATAATTACCCCCCCCCCCCCCCCCCCCCCCCTCCCCATTTGCCAACTGGTGTACACGGAGAAACCACACACTGTGTGCGATGTGATGTCCTACATCAAAAGAGTTTGGTCAGGATATTCCCTAGTACTAATAGTAATATACCCGGCCTCCTGTGGGGGGCCGACGCATCATATAAAAAGAATCTCTCGTCGTCAGAAAAGCTACGTCATCGCAGCTAGGGTTTACTAGGGTTTGCTGAGAGTATGATAAGAGAGTAGACAATCTGACAATCTGCACAAACGCCTGAGCACTGTTTTGAATACGACACTGTAAATTTTACCTCATTGTAGAAACTCGTCTTCTCGTGTCCGAATGCTATGGTTCGGTATGGGTCATTGACGATGACTCGAGACATTTTCAGTTTTCAGTTGCAGCCTCGGTTTTCAGACGTTCTGTCGTATCACTTGAAGCTGTTTACACTGTCATGCATTAATTATTTCTGAACAAAATCTCTGTCAACAGTCAAGACGGAATAGCTGTAATGCTTCGAAGGAAATTTTCAACGTCAAGACCTCCAGTACAGTAGAGAATAGAACTAATATTAATACCCGGCCTTCTCTGCACCGGCAGTGTCGCCGTCAGTGTGATGGGTAACGGTCATAATTCTTCCATTGTACGAAATGACCTATTCCGTTCATGTGATGATAAAAAAAACTCTGAGTATCGTTTAGTCTTTTCAACATGTCGATAAGTGAGCAATAACAATGGAAAGCAAATATTCTTTCACTTTCAGACTTCATCCTCAGCAGCTGTCATATCGCTGTCATCGGCTGCGATGGTAAACTTCCGGTGTAAACGACTTTCGTTCTTATTTACGGGAGTTCAATATCACATTAAATACGATTACTTAAATATAAAAGATGGTCGCACTGGATAGTTTTCAATATTTTTGACGTTCTTAATTATTGTTAATAATTGTTGATGACACTTTTTAAATCCAAGCGTGGTGTCGTTAGGTTACCGTAAATCATTCATCATTCTGAAATTTAGCCAACAAGCGCAGCCTCCTGCGTAGTGGCGCTAAATTTGAGAAGGATGGACCCACCTTAAATTGCTTCTTTTCAATATTCAAAATGGCGAGTGTGATGATGTTTGGTCAGTAGCATGCAGGGACGAAGGACTACTATGTTTTTCAAATGATTGATCTTCATACATTTTCTAGGACACAGGGGTCAATTGTTGAATTGAACATCATTTGCCACGTTGTTGAAATATGCAAGGTCACATGGTTCAATTGTCTTAAAAATAACTTTTAAACAACTTCTGATGATTAATCAAAAGGCCTAGGGTCATGATGTTTGGATAGGTACATGATTGGTGGAAACCTATCATGTTTGTTCAATGAATGACCTTCACCCATATCCAAGGTCACTGAGGCAAACATGTTAGAAACGTTTATTGAATTGATTAAATGTCAAAAATGTGTTGAAAACATTGAACGACTTATTCTGAATAATTAAAAAGCGTAGGATGATGATATGTGGCCAGTTACATGCTCAGATATAGAGCTATGAGGTTTGTCCAAATGAATGATCTTAATATTATAAGTTATCGGCTGTCAAATGTGTCAAAAATATGAAGGGTTTGAAACACCTACTGAAGAACTTAAGTGCATAGGGCGGTGATATTAAGCCAGCAGAACGCTGAGATGAAGAGCTATCAAATTTGTTCATATGCCTTACCTTGACTTACTTCCAAGGTCACATATAGTCAATTGTGTTTAAACCTTTAATTGACCTCATCTCAATAAACAAAATGTCTTGGGTGGTGATATTTGGCAAATTTCGTGTTTGATGAAGGGCTTTAAACTTTGTTTAACTTAATTACCTTTTTGGACTTTCAATGACTCACAGGGGTCAAATGTCATATTCATATTTTAAACAGATTCTTTTCTTTTGAATGAATTAGAGCTATAGAGCTATATTTATCTGTAAATGTAGACAAACCAAAAATAGTTGTTTTTAGGAAAAGTAAACGATTGTATCCAAACGAGCAGTGGACTTTTGATGGTAAAGCTATAGAAGTGGTAGATCAATTTTGCTATTTAGGTTTGGTTTTTAATTATAATGGTAAATTTACCATTGCATTGAATAAAATTGCTGTACAAGGAAGGAAAGCTTATTTTCTTCTTAATCGGAAAGCGAAAAGATTTTTGTTGAATGAAAAGACCAAGTTATCTTTATTTGATACTTATATATCATGTATTGTAAATTACGGGTGTGAAGTATGGGGTTATAGTCCTGCACCGCAGATTAAAAATAGACATTTATCATTTTTGAAAACCGTATTGGGTGTCAGGAAAACAGTAAATAATGCCATGGTGTGTTTTGAACTTGATCGTTACCCTTTGCATATACAGCGTAGGATTGCTATTGTAAAGTACTGGCTGCAAATATTAAAGACTAATAACTGTATTTTGAGGGCCGTTACGATGAACTTTTAGAGCTTTATAACAGGAAAGCAAATTGTAAAGCAAATTGGGTTTATCATCTGAGACGTGATTTGTGTACGTTGGGTTTTGGAGATGTGTGGTTGGCACAATGTGTACCAAATGAGAAATCTTTTTTATTATTATATATACAACGCATAAAGGATACTTTTATTCAGAAAATGAGAAACATATTCGAGACATCTTCAAAATGTTTGTTGTATAAACACATTGTTGACCGTTTTGATCTCCAATGGTATTTTACAAAACCGCTATTTAGAAAAAATAAATGTATTCTTGCGAAATATAGATTGCAAGCACATAAACTTAATATAGAGAGAGGTAGATATAATGCAGTGCCTCGAAACCAGAGATTGTGTACTTTATGTGATCTTGGAGATGTCGAGACGATTTTCATTTCATTCTTATGTGTCCTGTGTTTTTAGAATTAAGAGTATCGTATATCAAGCCATATTATCGTATTCGTCCTTCTGTGTTTAAATTAATAGAGCTACTGTCTAGCAAAAATTTTAAACTTATTAGAAATTTAAGTAAGTACTTGATTCAGGTAACTGTTAAGAGAAGTCGTATATTATGAAATATAAGCTGTATCAAATTCTTGCTATAAACGTTTTGTCACTGTACAATGCGATTGAGATCTATGTCTTTTATTTCACAATAAGTTATAATCTCATTTCATTATATAATATATAGTATTCGTTCTACCTTCATGTTGAGGTTGTATGATTGATTTTGAAGTTTTGTTATTTCCCAGAAATTTGGTTAGATTAAGGCTTTATTTGTATTATTTCCTAAACGACTAAATTATGCAACTAAATTATGCTTCATAAGAGTCCGCTAAGTTACCTTAGGAAAACCTTAAAGTTTTCCCAAACTTATGCCAATTTCATAATTTGTAAATATTATGTATGGAATTGAATCTATTGCATATGTTCTCCGCCATTGTACAAGATGTTTGTAAAGTATTTATCTATATGTATATTTCTGTACGCCTATATGCAATGTGCATTTGTTAATAAATTGAATTGAATTGAATTGAATTGAATTGAATAGATACTGATAGTTTGCATGTAGCATTATTTTAATCCACCTTTAAGGATACAAATGTTTGCAACTATTGGTCAGTAACTGTTTTCACTGGTCAGTAACTGTTTTTATTTCGGTTTACAGGTAATGGTCAGTGGGATGTGGACACTGCTGGAAATAATACTTATAGGAGCTGTGCTTTTGTACGTAACGGTGAGTCATTCAGCCAAAATTCTTACCGGAGTTATTTCGGAAACTCCTCAGAAACAGATTTGGTTTATTTATAGAACACAATTCAGTAAATTATCATATTTGACGAACGAGAGCTATACCTTCTGTTAAGTATAGCTTTAAGACAACGGAAGTGACCTGTATTTGGAACTCATAAAGAAAAAAGGACTTCTCGGGCATATCTCCTATTACGTAAGGGTATGTATTCCATATTACGTAAGGGTATATATTCCATATTACGTAAGGGTATATATTCCATATTACGTAAGGGTATGTATTCCATATTACATAAGGGTATATATTCCATATTACGTAAGGGTATGTATTCCATATTACGTAAGCGTATGTATTCCATATTACGTAAGGGTATGTATTCAATATTACGTAAGGGTATGTATTCCATTTTACGTAAGGGTATATATTCAATATTACGTAAGGGTGTGTATTCCATATTACGTAAGGGTAAATATTCCATATTACGTAAGGGTATGTATTCCATATTACGTAAGGGGATGTATTCCATATTACGTAAGGGTATGTATTCCATTTTACGTAAGGGTATATATTCAATATTACGTAAGGGTGTGTATTCCATATTACGTAAGGGTATATATTCCATATTACGTAAGGCTATGTATTCCATATGACATAAGGGTATGTATTCCATATTACGTAAGGGTATACGTTCCATATTACGTAAGGGTATGTAATCCATATTACGTAAGAGTATATATTCCATATTACGTAAGGGAATATATTCCATATTACGTAAGGGTATGTATTCCATATTACGTAAGGGTATATATTCCATATTACGTAAGGGTATGTATTCTATATTACGTAAGGGTATATATTCCATATTACGGAAGGGTATATATTCCATATTACGTAAGGGTATGTATTCCATATTACGTAAGGCTATGTATTCCATATTACATAAGGGTATGTATTCCATATTACGTAAGGGTATGTATTCCATATTACGTAAGGGTATGTATTCCATATAACGTAAGGGTATAGATTCCATATTTGTAAGGGTATGTATTCCATATTACGTAAGGTTATGTATTCCATATTACGTAAGGGTATCTATTCCATATTACGTAAGGGTATGAATTCAATATTACGTAAGGGTATGTATTCCATATTACGTAAGGGTATATATTCTATACAACGTAAGGGTATACATTCCATATTACGTAAGGGTATGCATTCAATATTACGTAAGGGTATATATTCCATATTACGTAAGGGTATGTATTCCATATTACGTAAGGGTAAATATTCCATATTACGGAAGGGTATATATTCCATATTACGTAAGGGAATGTATTCCATATTACGTAAGGGTATATATTGCATATTACGTAAGGGTATATATTCCATATTCCGTAAGGGTATGTATTCCATATTACGTAAGGATAAATATTCCATATTACGTAAGGGTAAATATTCCATATTACGGAAGGGTATATATTCCATATTACGTAAGGGTATGTATTCCATATTACGTAAGGGTATATATTCATATTACGTAAGGGTATATATTCCATATTACGTAAGGGTATGTGTTCCATATTACGTAAGGGTATATATTCCATATAACGTAAGGGTATGTATTCCATATTACGTAAGGGAATATATTCCATATTACGTAAGGGTATATATTAAATATTACGTAAAGGTATGTATTCCATATTACGTAAGGGTATGTATTCCATATTACTTAAGGGTATATATTCATATTACGTAAGGGTATATATTCCATATTGCGTAAGGGTATGTGTTCCATATTACGTAAGGGTATGTATTCCATATTAAGGGTATGTATTCCATATTACGTAAGGGTATGTATTCCATTTTACGTAAGGGTATGTATTCCATATTACGTAAGGATATCTATTCCATAATACGTAAGGGTATATATTCCATATTACGTAAGGTTATGTATTCCATATTACGTAAGGGTATGTATTACATATTACGTAAGGGTATATATTCCATATTACGTAATGGTATGTGTTCCATATTACGTAAGGGTATATATTCCATATTACGAAAGGGTATATATTCCATATTACGTAAGGGTATGTGTTCCATATTGCGTAAGGGTATATATTCCATATAACGTAAGGGTATGTATTACATATTACGTAAGGGTATATATTCCATATTACGTAATGGTATGTGTTCCATATTACGTAAGGGTATATATTTCATATAACGTAAGGGTATGTATTCCATATTACGGAAGGGTATATATTCCATATTACGTAAGGGTATATATTACATATTACGTAAGGGTATGTATTCCATATTACGTAAGGATATAAATTCCATAATACGTAAGGGTATATATTCCATATTACGTAAGGTTATGTATTCCATATTACGTAAGGGTATATATTCCATATTACGTAAGGGTATGTATTCCATATTAAGGGTATGTATTCCATATTACGTAAGGGTATGTATTCCATATTACGTAAGGATATATATTCCATAATACGTAAGGGTATATATTCCATATTACGTAAGGGTATATATTCCATATTACGTAAGGGTATGTATTCCATATTACGTAAGGGTATATATTACATATTACGTAAGGGTATGCATTCCATATTACGTAAGGGTATGTATTCCATATTACGTGAGGGTATGTATTCCATATTACGTAAGGGTATGTATTCCATTTTACGTAAGGGTATGTATTCCATATTACGTAAGGGTATATATTCCATATTACGTAAGGGTATGTATTCCATATTACGTAAGGGTATATATTCCATATTCAATATTCCCGGAGTCCTTAGTCGTGATACATAAACCAGTATTAGAATCGCTTATGCAAAATCAGTACAAAGATCTATGAGGACTTTAAAATGTAAAATTTGGAAACTAAAATCGTATCATATATTGGGGTGTTCTTAGTTCCCCCACTTTTTATAGAACAAAGAAAAGTGTTGATATAGGAAGACAATGGCAAACCAATTATAGTCTGTTTCATACTTACTCCACAGGTAAGTTCATACTTACTCAACAGGTAAGTTCATACTTACTCCACAGGTAAGTTCATACTTACTCAACAGGTAAGTTCATACTTACTCCACAGGTAAGTTCATACTTACTCAACAGGTAAGTTCATACTTACTCCACAGGTAAGTTCATACTTACTCCACAGGTAAGTTCATACTTACTCCACAGGTAAGTTCATACTTACTCCACAGGTAAGTTCATACTTACTCCACAGGTAAGTTCATACTTACTCCACAGGTAAGTTCATACTTACTCCACAGGTAAGTTCATACTTACTCCACAGGTAAGTTCATACTTACTCCACAGGTAAGTTCATACTTACTCCACAGGTAAGTTCATACTTACTCCACAGGTAAGTTCATACTTACTCCACAGGTAAGTTCATACTTACTCCACAGGTAAGTTCATACTTACTCCACAGGTAACTTACCTGTGTTAAAGTTACGGTGTCGTCTCACGTAGCATACATTTGGTATTTTCCTATATACAGGTAAGGTGCTGGTGTCGTCTCACCTAGCATACATTAGGTATATTCCTATATACAGGTAAGGTGCTGGTGTCGTCTCACCTAGCATACATTAGGTATATTCCTATATACAGGTAAGGTGTTGGTGTCATCTCACCTACCATACATTAGGTATTTTCCTATATACAGGTAAGGTGTTGGATGTATGCTAGGTGAGAGTTCGTGTCAGTTAGAGAACAATAGGATTTAATTACAGGTAAACTATAGTCTGTACTATAAAGTGTCTTACCATGTGAATATGAAGGTATACAAAGGATTGATTTTTGGTGTAAAAAATTATTTATTTATAAAATTGTTTGCACTTCATCTATTATAGTCTTCATCATAATAATAGGGAATATCAGATCAAATGTCCTAACTTTACATATTATTACAATACAATACAATTTGTTTTATTTAAGTGTCACATATCGATATACATTAAAACTACAGCAGATTTTACAAAAGTAAAAGCTATTTCAAAATTTAAATCGATCAGTTATCGACATCAAGCAAAATCTGACTTATGAAACACTAAAAGTCATTATCACTCCTTAAAATAATTAAATTCACTAGCACTGAACATAATTATATAAAGTTAAAACATAGGCGCCTGTGATACATATGATATAAAGCAGCGTCTAAAGTCGATCTTGTAAAGGTGTAACTGGACGAGAATAACCGACCGGTTTTAACTTAAATTTGTTTACCCGACATTCCCAACTTCTCCGTTTTCCTTTTGACAACTAATGTATTTTATAGACTAATCTATCGTGAGCAGTTCCATTAATCCTTAACCAGAGCCTGCAGACCTCCACTTTCTCTTTCACGTCACAGGAACTCCAACCAAGATCGCCACTTGTAGCGACACTGGACGCATTTCTTCCGGTACCGAAGAAGTAGCGGCACGCTTTATTATTATTTTTCTGATCAAGGTTGTAACATCCTTATACCTTTTTTGAAAAAAATGGTCATGTAAGCTTGTTTTCAACGAAATTTCAAAAACATATAAGTTCAGCCCGATATACTAGTATGTAATCATTCAAAATGACAACGAAGGATCATTTCACGTTAACTGTACATCATATTGTACACATTGCTCCATTATTTATGCAGTATACTGGTATTATTCCGTCTATACCACGTGCCTGCGGTGCTATTAACCAAAACTTTATGACGGTATATGGTACGAATTGTTTTCTTCAATTTTAGCTTACGAAGTATATTCCTGTTTAGTATAGAATACATGTATGTCTCAGTAGATTAAATACTCTTTTGCATTCATTGAGACTGGAAGAAAAAGAAATGTTCCTTCAGAACAAAGACATTGTAAGGAATGTACCTCCACAGACATGAAAGATGAATTTCGCTTTTTGTTAATTTGTAGTAATCCGACTATTCAGTTGTTAAGTGTCAAAAATAGTAAACAGCTATGTATATTAATGAAGTTTATCTTTGAAACTATCAGAACCTCTTAGTTGATTATATTGTGTATTATGTACATCATCTCTATACATTCTCTATACATCGTGTTTTGTACATCATGTACCACATATAATGAGCCAAT